TAGTCCATCACAGGAGCAAGCTTGGCACAGTGGAAGTAAAAAAAAAAAGTGTGGTGTGCAATATAGTAAATTATACAGCGGCACTGTGCAGAATAGCAGACGCTATAGAGGAATGCAGCAATAGTACATTATACTATATTGTACTATTGCTGGGATTTGTAGTCCTTTATAGCTGGTGGTATTCTGCAGTGCGCTGTAGAATTATTATACGGCACAATGCAGAATACCAGCAGCTATAGAGAAATACAACAAATGCCAGCAATAGTACAACATTATACTATACTGTACTATTGCTGGGCATTGTAGTCCCCTGTAACTGCTGGTATTCTGCATTGCGTTGTATATAATGTAGTATTGCTGGGATTTGTAGTCCTCTATAGCTGGTGGTATTCTCCATTGCGCTGTATAATGATTATACTGCGCAATGCAGATTACCACTGACCAGTTATAGAGGAACTACAAATCCCAGCAATAATAAATTATACTGGGTGTTTAATGTATTATTGCTGGGATTTGGTGTTCCTCTATAGCTGCTAATGTTCTGCAGTGTGCCGCTTAAAACAAAAAAAACACAACAGGAAACATTAAAAAGCTCCCGGCCGATCTCGACACTCGACTGAATGACGGTGTTGTCGGCGGGCATCGACCAGTCGGGAAGCTCACCGGGAGGAGAGGGCCAGAAGCATGTCCTCAGCGTGCGGTGGGCGTGGCTTATGCGGCAGATGAGGGAGCTCACGGCGAGGAGGAGACCAGCGGCTTCAGCCTGTGCGATGGGTGTGGCTTATGCGGCGGCGTGGGCACGTCGGGCGCAGCAGGAGTGATGTGTGACTCAGGCTGCGTGTGGAGCCCCGAACAGGCTAATCAATCCATAGCTGACGAGTCGACGATCGAAAACGTTGCCAACGTTTTCAATCGTCAATTTAATTGACCTAAATCTATTAACTGTTGCAGCTCTATTATTATACAGGATTTGTATAGCGCCAACAGTTTGCGCAGCGCTTAACAATATAAGGAACATATTACAATCACAATACAATTCAAGACAAGATGGTAAGGGCCCTGAGGGCTTACAATCTAAAAGGGAGGGGGAAGTGATACATGAGGAGGTAGCTGTGTGGGGATGAATTGTGTGAGAATGTGATGGTTGAGTGGTTAGTTTGAGGTGGGATAGGCTTCCCTAAAGAGATGAGTCTTTAGGGATCGCCTAAAGCAGGGATGGCCAAATTCCGGCCCTCCAGCTGTGATGAAACTACAAATCCCATGAAGCATCTCTCTCCGGGAGTCATGTGTGTGGCTTTAAAAATCTTGCAAAGCCTCATGGGATTCGTGGTTCCACCACAGCTGGAGGGCTGCAGTTTGGCCATCCCTGGCCTAAAGGCAGTCAAGGTGGGAGCTTAGACAAGGGAGTTGACAAGGGAGCTGGAAAGCAGGAGGTCTTAAGAGGAGCGGATGGGATGGTTAGGGTGATATTTTGAGACAAGGTTTGAGATATATCTGGGGGCAGAGTTGTGGATGGCTTTGTAAGCGATTTTTATAAATATTTTGATTTTTATCCTTTGGGCTATTGGAAGCCAGTGTAGGGATTGGCAGAGGGGGGTTGCAGGCACTGAGCGGTTGGTAAGGTGGATGAGTCTAGCAGCTGCATTCATGATAGACTGAAGGAGGGATAGCCTGTGTAGAGGTAGGCCAATGAGGATGGAGTTGCAATAGTCAAGACAGGAGATGACAAGGGAGTGGGTGAGTAATTTAGTGGTTTCATTGGTAAGGATAGGGCGTATTTTGGAGATGCTACGAAGGTGAAGGCGGCAGGATTTGGATATATTTGGAATATTATAAACCTATTCATGCGTTCTTTCGGCTAATCTTCTCTTAGTCCTCCCTACATACTGTAGCCCGCATGGGCTCCTACAGAATTAGCTGATATAAAATCTTTAGTTTTTTTCTGTTGAGTCTTTAGTTTTTATTTTGAGCGTTTATTCTTTCATTTAATTTCACTTCTTTGCAGGCATAACAGTGCCCACAGGCATAGAATCCCTGCATATCAAAGAGCCTGATTTTGTTATATTTAGGGGAATCAATAATGTTATGTACCAGTTATTTTCTTATAATTGGGGATTATTTTTTTTAAATAAACCTAGGTTTAATGGGCAAATTTTTCCTCTGTATAAAAGTCATTAGGAAAAATATTGGAACATTCCAATTTCTTTATATTGAACATTGTAGTTCAGTGTAATCACAGTACAGATCTTATCTATTATAGGTCCATCTTGACAAACCCCACCCCTCAAACAATTAGATTTTTTTTTTTTCTGTGGCTGTGTGCTTCTGCATTGATGGCCTAACATATTCCCTCCAAACAATCTGCAGGATTGCTCTCCTAGCTATCCTCATGGAAAGGTTTCTGTGGCTGAAATGCTGGTTTTCCTAGCTCTCCTGCAAGAATCACCTTCAATGCATAACATTTATGGGGAAATACTGGGGGAATGGCAAGAGCACCTCCTCACCTCAGAAGAAAGTCGAAGCTTCCAGCAGCAAAATTCTCTCTTTCAAGAAGGGTTCCTTTCACCTTTCAAAAGCCTCTGGATCCAAGCCAGGTTTTCAGATTCATCAAGTCCTTGCCCTCCAAATCCAGGAACAATCCATCTTCATTGTGACTGGGCACCGCACCTTAAGTGTGGGGACGGACGCCTGTCTGCCTTGCGCCTCCTCGCAAGGTGATCGGATCTTCTTGCTTAACCAGATGGGCAAATAGGTCCCTGCAAGTCTCAAACTTCTGGATAGAATCTACCTATTGCCTCACTTCACCCGGGCTGCTTTCTGGCATTGGCAGACAAGGATGCATATTTGCACATTCCCATTTCTTCCTGCCTGTCCACTTCACCTCGAGTCTTCACCTAGGGTTATGGACCGTTTTGTGTTTTAGCTTTTCTTCAGTCTCCGGGCATCCTTTATAGTTGGATGCCTAGACTTTTTTTCCCCCCTCAGAACAGTCAGTCGAAGCGTTGTTGTTCAGCTGAACTTACAAACCACTTCAGAACTTTGAGTCCTGAACCTCTAGAAGTAATCGCTGGACCCCTCATATCACTTGGGAGTGTTTGGGCCTGATCTTGGACATGGATCTCTTCTCCCTTCTCCGAAAAAGATCCAATTTCTCCATTCTCATGCTCAGACTTTGCTGTCCAGGAGTGGCTCAACCGCTAACTTTTACATGGCTTCATTCATGGCAGTTCCCTATGTAATTTTTCACTGCATGCTATTGCAGCTCAGCATTTTGACTGTGTGGGACAAACAAGCTCAGGCCCTGGACCTTCTGATTTTTCTTGCCCATCTAGATAAAGCTTGTCCTACTGTGGTTGAACTCGCCATTGAAGTAAAAATGGACCTGGTTGATGGAGGATTTGTGTCTCCTTATAAACACCCTCGAACTCTGCTATTCAGTGGTCACCTCATCACTAGATTCCCCAGTTAAAGGATATAGTCCCACAAGCCACAACCGCGGCCTACATCAACCATCAAGGAGGCATCGGAAGTGGTGCCGCTCAAAGTGAAGAACTGGACCTTGCTTGGGCCAAACTTCACATTTCAGTCCTGTCTGTTGTGCACAATCCAGTCCTGAAGAAGTGGCACATGGACTTTATCAGGTTTCAGCGTCTTGATTCTGGAGGTGTTTCGTGACCTCTGTTGCACTCGCATGTCCAGTTTGTCCAGGCCTGTAGTGCTAGGGTCCGGTATTCCACTCTGCTTCTACGTTACTGGTGTTTAACAGTGGCTGGCTGTTAAAGCCCAGGTTCTAAAGGACAGAGCCCTCTTGAAATCTATCATCCCCAAGTTTTTATTTTTTTTTTATAAATTATTTTTATTTCATCCCTATGTTTTTTAAAAGCTAGGAAGTCAACCTCTAGCAAGGTCTACCAACACAGCGGGAAGACCTTTTTTTTTTTTTTTTCCCCCACTGGGAATCGATGTTTCATGCCATAAAATACTCCATGGGGCACATCCTATCTTTCCTCCAGTCTGCCCTTGACCATGATTACTACAGTAAATTTCTCATCCGGCATTCAAGCAGCAGACTAGAACAATATCGAGGGCGTAGGTTTTTTTTTTGTTTGCCGGTTGCTTGGTGCACACTAAAAAAATTTGTTGGCAACTAAATATCAAAAAATCTTCTCTGGTGCCGTCCCTTCATCTGGATTATCTGGGCTTGATCCTGGACCCAACTGTGGCATATGTCAATCAGGGAGACACGACCAATCGGGCTGCGGCGCTGGACGTTTCTCATATACTTGAGCGCTATGGTGGCATTGTGCTACAGGTACAACCTTTTTATGCGAGTGGATTCCAGTTTTGGTGGCTCTGGATTGGCCTTGTCTTTGGCAGGTTGACATGGTATGCCTGGTCGCGGTCTTTCCTTGGCGACTTCTTTGACTGGACTTTTTGTTGCAAGGTCTAATTTTCCATCATCCTTTACTGTCGCTAGCTTTAACAGAGTGGCTGTTGACAGCCAGTTGTTGAGGTATTCGCATAAGTCTACCTCTTGGAAGATATTGCACTTGGCTTATATTTCGTGGTGCAAATGTGTCTCCGTGTGTCTCCACATGCTTTTTCTGTAGCTCACATTTTAGCCTTCCTTCAATGGGTCAGCAGCTGGCTCCAAGGGTCAGCTTTTGGCATTGGCTGTCGTGTTTTTTTTTCTTTTTTCAATGCCCATTTGGTTTCACACTCCCTGGTATATATCTTTATCCATGGAGTGTCGCATGCCTCTCCTCCAGTCAGATCACCATTGTCTGCTGGCTCACAGATGCTGAAAGCGAGGTATCCATCTCAGTCTTTTTGATTTTAATTTTACTTGTTACCTGAAATTGCTCTTTTAAAGAAATCTAGATTCATATTTAGTTTTTTCAAGTGTATATGCTAATGTGATTTAGGCTACTTGTGCTAAACTCCTGCATTTCTATGCTGTAAGTCTTTTGTATCTTACCTAACTCTTGCTTTATCTACAGCTTGTCAAGATGCGCCTGACTGTACCCTGTCGAGCAGAGACCTGTGCTCACCTCCAGTGCTTTGATGCAGTCTTCTACTTGCAAATGAATGAAAAGAAACCAACATGGACTTGCCCAGTGTGTGATAAGCCAGCTCAGTATGATCAGCTTATAATAGATGGGTAAGCCATAAATTGATTTCCTGTGTGTTGTTACTCCATTGTCTTTTAAAGTGCAATGAAGACACATTTTGTTACCCTGTTTCCCCGAAAATAAGACCTACCCCGAAAATAAGACCTAGTACTATTTTTGGGAATTGCTAAAATATAAGACCTACCCCGAAAATAAGACCTAGTTGTGACTGATCCCTGGGCCGGTGGTGGCAAAAGGGGGAATTTGAAGAGCCGCAGGAGAGAATCAGCGGTGCCAGCGCTAGAGGAAGCGAGGTGGCAGCGGAGGGAGCAAAGCCGCATAAGCCGATGCTTCCCCTATAGTGTCATCTCCTGTCACAGGCGGAGTGATACCAAATGTACTCCGCCTGTGAGTAATCAATAGTGAAAGCGCGCTTCACTCATTCTGGCCAGCGATGGTTAACAAATTGCTCTTGGAAAGGTACGACACACCTGATTGCCCTGATCACCATATTCTTAACTTTGACACTGTCTTGTAAATCTTCTACCGGTAATAACTTTGGATTGTTGTACATTTTAAAAAAATAAGACCTACCCCGAAAATAAGACCTAGTGCGTTATTTTGAGCCAAAAAAAATATAAGACAGTGTCTTATTTTCGGGGAAACACGGTATATATCCGTTTTATATATTTAAGAATTATGGGTAAGCAAACTGCACAATTGACCTTATTTATCAAATATGTTTGATGCCCATAGGAACCTAATTCCAACTGTTATTTTTCCACCTAACCTTTTTAAAGTGAAACATAGTATCTTTTTGCAGGTCACAGAGTTTATTTTAATTTGTCCCAGTAGGAATATTTTTCTCATCTATTAAGAGACACAGGAATTCAGATAGTCATGTATTATTGCTACCTATATGAGGTTTGGACTCTGGCAAACAGACAAATTGTAAGCTAGAGCCCATATTGCCCTCCCCCCCTACCCAACATGCCTTAGTGTTTGTTAGAGTTTTATTAGGTTGGACACCTTTTTTTTTTTTTTTTTTCAACTCTGCTAAAAAGTGTTTGCTGGTCATCTTTCCTTTTGTGGATAATTTTTCCTCTGGGAGTTCCATTAACTTTCCTCGCTGACACTGCTGTTTGGTCTGGTCTCTATATAACAGCTATCTGAATCAGCGTTTCCTTAGCCTTGTTTTGGAAGCCATATACCGACTCTGCTGGAATGGACATGTGGGTGGAGCAATGTGTGTGCTCTTTTCTGACATTCAGTCTGGAGGAAACACTATTGCACTGCTGCTCATGAAGCACCACATGGATCATAGGTCTGTTTCTACTGCCCACCTACACTGACCTAGTCACCTCTGGTGACCTAAAACCCTCATTAGCAGCAGTTGCCTGGCTTGTGAGTGCCCAAGTTTTTCCTCACATGGGCCTAGTTGCATTAGTGCTACATGGAAGCAACATGTCTTCGCAGAGGGCAGTAATACTGCCACTGGTGACCTCAGCCTATGCTCCCTTAGTGGTTCTAGGGACATTTACTCTGTAGTTCCAGAGCCCCTGAAGGAACCAATACTGCTTAATCTGAAAACTGGCACTCTTATTGTTATTAGGACTTCATTGGAGTCTCCGTTAGCTCTGTCAGGTGAGTCTCACGGACACCCCACCACCACCATGTTCCCCCATATTCACAGGGACCTCCGTGTCCAGTCAGGACCATTTGGCTGTTGGTGCTCAGTTACTTAGCACCATGCCCACGGAGGCTCCACCATGCTCTGCTGAGTCTGTCTCTGACCCTCTCAAGCCTTTAGACCAAGCTGGGTATATGTGGTCCCTATTACCTAATCTAACTTGAGTCCCAGTGTCTATTTCTGTAGGGAGAAGAGTTTTCATGGCACTGCAGTCTCCTTCTGGGACCTCAGATTTATAGAGGGTTGTTTGTTCCTCAAGAAAAGCTGTTTAACTTCACTCCCAGACTCGTAGTCTACAGTCCAGGAAGGAGCCTTCTGATGCTGCGCTTCTGCATGAGAGTTCTAGGCTTGATAGTAGCCTCCTTCGAGGCAGTTCCATTTGCTCAGTTTCTCTTCATACAACTACAATGCAGCATTCTGTTGTGGGACAAATCCATTCACTCTCTAGACAAACCAATTTGCCTCACAGCCTAGTGGCTCTGAAATCCAGCTCTGGAGTCTGTCATGGAAGGTCATCACAGTGGATGCCAGCCTGTAGGGCTGAGAGAGGAGTCCTAGACACCTTGTCTGTACAGGGGACTTGTTCAACAGCAGAATCATCTCCCAATCAACATTCTTGAGCTACAAACAGTTGGGTTGTCCCTGGGATGCTGGACACCTCCAATAGAAGGTCTTCTCATCCGGATTCAATCTGACCATTGCTACACCAGTGGCGTACATCAGCAAGGAACCAAAAAGGTGGTTGTGGCAAAAGAGCTTGAAAGCATACTAACCTGAGTAGAACCCCGGCCTTGTCTGCCATTCACCTACCAGGTATGGACAATTGGCTGGCAAACTACTTAAGCCAACAGCATCAGGACTCGGAATGGTCCTTCTACCTGAAAGTCTCAGACCTGCTTGACAGGTGAGGAATGCTGGTCCTTCGGTCTAACACGATTTAACAAATTGGATGCAGATATCCTCTTGCGGAAGCAATGGCTTCTCTGCTGATCCCGTGGGATCAGTACAGACTAATCTAAGTCTTGGTCTACTCTGTAGGATTAAGTGTAGTGTATTCCGACAATATTAATAGCTCCAGACTGTCTCAGATGTTGTGTTCTTACCTGATGTCTACTCTCTAGGCCCCTCAAGATAGAAGTCAATCTCAAGGACTGGTTTACCATCCTGCTTCACAGTAGCTGGCTTTAACATTGTGCTTTTGAAGCCCAGCTCTTGAGGGACAGAGGCCCCTTTCATTCAGTAATTACCACCCTTTTTAGAAGCTAGGAAGGCTACCTCAAATAAGGTCTTTCATCACACATGGAAGACTTCCTTCACTTGGAGGAGGAGAAAAAGCTTCAACCCAGGTAATACTCTGTGGGATAAAACCTAATCTGTTTAGGGCTGCAACTAATGATTTTCATCAAATAGTTGGTTGATTTTTTGTTTTAAAAAAAATTAATACCATCCTTAATTTTAAAATACACAAATGGAGTTTTACAAACATTAAGTTTACTTCAGAATAAAACTGCATGCACAATTTTTTGCTATCGCACTGGATGGAACGCACCGCATTGCAGTAGCGAGCATTCCAGTGCAGACGATCACACTGGGTGGGAGGCGCATTTGGGGTGCCATTGAAATGAGTGCCACTGCAACGCACCTCCCGCAGCAGAATTTGTCAGGCCGAAACGGAAATTTTACTTTTTTTTTTCTTCTCACCTTTTATAATATTTTAATTGTATTGTAAGCACATGGCACTTTAATAGCTTCAGCCAGGGAATGACAGTTGCCAGTGGCAAGATTCCGCAGACGGCAGTTGAATGTACAGTGAGGAAAATAATTATTTGATCCCCTGCAGATTGTAAGGTTGCCCACTTACAAAGAAATGAAAGGTCTATAATTTTTATCATAGGTGTATTTTAAATGATAGAGACGGAATATCTACCAAAATTCCAGAAAAAAACATGATACAAATGTTATAAATTGAGTTGCAGTTCAGTGAGTAAAATAAGTATTTGATACCCCCACCAACCAACAATAATTCTGGCTCCCACAGACTGGCTATGTGGTACACAGATTAGTCCTGCCAATTTAAGAAGGTGCTCCTAATGACAATTCGTTATGTATAAAGACACCTGTCCACAGAATCTTTCTTCCATTCAAACCTCACCACCATGGGCAAGACCAAAGAGCTGTCAAAGGATGTTGGGGACAAGATTGTAGACCTGCGTTGTGGTGTGCATGCACTAATTTATTTATTTTTCAACTCCCTATATTGCGGCACCACACTTTGTGCTGTTACACGGCCGCTGCACGGTAGCATGCACTTGGCATAATGCTGTGATATTACAGAAGTACATAAAAATACTTTTTGGACGGCCAGAAATACAATGCGCTCCTTCCTTTTTACAGCAAATGCACGATTTTCAGCACAGAATTTCTCCCATCTTTCACTTTTTTGTCCCAATCTACATGCATGCAATGTTCTAATGAAACAATTCTGCCGCTTTGATAGGGGCTCTTGGGAGGCGGGATGTGGCGGTGGGGGGGGTCTGGGTGTCTGTCAATAGGAACTGAACTTTCTATAGCTACCCGTGCAGTAGTTTCTGAAGCCTGGTGCTAATGTCACAGGGCGAAAGTAATTTCTTTGTACAGGAGCAAGATAAAAAAAATGCTGGTATATTCTTTATAGAAAGGAGTTTGAGGTTTGGGATTTTGGAATTGTCTGTGCAATTTAATACGTGTATTATTCCTTAGCATTTGTGCAGACAAATTGAGATTTAATGTATTAGAATGTACAAGAAAAATATTACATTTCATTGTTTTTTTTTCCAGTCTGTTGTCCAAAATCCTTAGTGAATGTAAGGATGCAGATGAGATAGAGTTTTTGGTCGATGGTTCTTGGCGCCCAATAAAGGCAGAAAAAGAGAGGAGCTGCAGTCCGGTCTGTCCTCTTCTTGAAATAGGTATTTGCACATCCTCATATTTTTCTAATGTGTTGATGCTTTACATGTTTTGTATCGCGTATATATCTACATATTTTATTAATAAAAAGTCTGTTTTGAGCAGGTATCTAAACATTGTTACTAATGACCCTTTAATGTCTGCCAGGATCTCCTGAAATGGCAGCAAAGATACCCCCTCCCAGCAGCACTGTGTCAACTGAGAATGGTAAACCTGGCCCAGATGTAGTGGACCTGACATTGGACAGTAGTTCATCTTCATCTTCATCCTCTGATGAAGATGATGAAGAGGAGGAGGAAGAACGCCCACCACATAAAAGACGCTGCTATGAAAAGGGGCTTTTATCAGCTTGTTGACCCTCCCTGCTTTCAAATCATATAAACTTGGACTTTTTAGTTTCAGACAGACGCAGCTAAAGAGCTGTGTTCCCTCTTCCTACCAAGACCTATATGCATCACTGCTTTGGCAAAGTCCCTTCCACTGTTCAACTTCAAAAGCATAAAAGATCATATTCAGCTGGTAAAAGACTCCCTGTTTTAATTTTGTTCTCATTTTTTATTACATTTTTTTTTTCTTTTTAATTGTGTTTTGGAAGTGTATTTAGGAGACATTGACAGGGGAAAAAAACCATTCCATGCCTTGTAAACAACCACTCTTCGTACCTTCCAATGCATCTTTCAATTGCTGGGTTGTTTTTTTGGGTTTTTTTTGTGGTTTTTTTTTGCATTACTTGCTGTATAACATAAAGGGCAAACATATTGCTGTAAATAGTTATTCATGTAGAAGGGTTTCTGTAAAAGAGCCATTATTGGGGGTTTGAAAAATGCACAGCATATTCTAGTTTTTCACTTCCCAAAATTGTGCAGTAATATTTCCAGTTTAGTAATATGCAAAAATTGGGCTGTGTAGAATTTTGTGACTGAGTGCTGATGGGTTGAAGAGGGGATTATACAGTGCTTTCAATCAAACTACCTCTCTGCTGTTCAAGTTTCTGTGCGAGTTAGGGGAGGTTTAATGCTGCTCTAGACCTTCTTCCTCCCCATGTTTAACTCTTCATTTCCTGGCTAAAAGCCCTACATCTCATTAGTAATCCCTCACCATTTAAAATATAGTCTGATTTTCCAATTGAAATCATCTTTCCTGTGATGGGGAAGTATGGATTAAAGTGAGCCAGTCAGTAATTTTTAGTTTTTGAAAGTACTGTCTTGGGAGCAGGCTGCACAGTGTACTTGCTATTATCTTTGCCAAAAAAAACGTTTGTGTACCTCTCTGGAACTGGTTTCAGTTTGTTACAAAGGAACTGAAATCCCCTGGTTTGCCCCCACCATTCCCTGTTCACAGAGTACCTTTACTGGCCACTGAGGCACTTTTCAGAAAGGCAATTACTGGTTGGCTAGGTTTGGTTCCAATGTCAGAAAAGTCAGGCCCTTAATAACAAAGATTAATCCATTTAAAGGGATGCACAGAGGAAATTATCTGGCCAACAAAGGCAACAGTGTGCACTTGCTGATTTTGCTCCTAGGCAGGACTTTCAAATGGTTAACAAGTTCATGGTAAAGTAATCTTTTCACAAACCTTGGCAAATCAAACTGAGCATATGAAAGATTTTCACAGAAAGTTTCAGTATCGATATAGGCAACTAAATTTCTGTACTATTCTTGGTTTCGGCTGTAGTTGAGATTGACTCCACTTCTTAAAGTCTGAGCCTTTCTGTTCACTTCATAATATACTAATAGGCAGCCTCATGTGAAAAGGGCTGGGCAAAATGAAATCTATTACCAGAAAGGTTAAGCTTTGCATGCAAATCTGCATATATTCCTAGATTTGCTCATTGTTTTGACATGCAGATTTCACTGAAGGTAAACTTAGATTATTTATTTAGCAATATGCTTATTTGAACTGTCAAGGGTTGTAACTGGTTTATATAAGAATGTGCTTTTAGCCTTATGACCTGCTTATCTTTTTTTTGTTTTGGGCGCTGGATTCGTCAAACATGTTTGAGTAGCCATGTCTCGTCTTGTATGTGAAATAGCACTGACTAATATACTAGTAGTGTCTTGTATTTATGCTTTTAACTTTCCCTCTGTTGATATATGTAAAATAATGACAACTAAATCAACTTGCTCAAGTAAATAGAGCAGCAGGCCTAAGATGTTTTAAGTAGGTAATGTGGCCTGATATCACTTTTACCAATAAAAATAATTGTCCGCTTAATATTTAAAATTGGCGCTTGATAGAACTTTGTAAAATGTACTATATATTTCTCCATTTTTGCTACCCTTCTCCCTGGAAACCTGTTTTCATTCACAGCTGTTTTGGAAGGGTTACCCTCAGGGTTGCCAAATTGGCAAGTTTTCATTCATTTTTTTTCTTAAACATGCTTCTTCTAGCCATTATACATTTATGATGATTGCTGAATTGTCTATAATTTTGTTATTTTTGAGAGATAGTTGGACCTAAATTTTCAATTGTTGGGCTTTTGTTTTTTTCTTTTTCTTAATATTACTATAGGATAACGCCATGGCCCTTTAGCCTTCTGTACGTTAAGCTATTATATTACCTGTTATAACAACCTCCGTGTTTAACTAAATGTCCACAGATAGACTTATAAACGAACAATCACACCATCAATTTTTATATAGATATATTTATACTACCAAACAAGGTGGCATTGCCTATGATTTAGCATATAATTATGTAGCATTATTACAAATTCCTTATAAAGTGTCCTAATCACTGAAGGACATTCCTTACAAAATAGCAATGGATAAACTTTGATATCAAGGAGAGCTTTGAAGTGTTTTAAAGAATACTGGAATGTAAATCATAAAAATAAAGCTAACAATTGCCCATGCAGTGGTTCATGTCATATGGAGCTGTTTTCAGCTTAAATATCGACAATATAATGTACAGAGCACTTAGCTGCTATGTATATGTGGTTGCTGGGACCATTTTGATCCACATATTAGCACTTAATATACAGTTACACACACACACTTTTTTTTTTTTTTTTTCTTCTCCATTCTTAGTCCAACTAAGCTTCAGGCAAGCAATTCTCCCCTTTGTAACGACACCCTCAGATGCAGAGTAAATGCTACTCCACCCTCTGCTCCAGGTAGATTAAATGTCCACATGAAATGCAAGATTCTGCAGGAAAAGAGCAGACCTGATCATTGCACAACATAAAAAAACATCCTCCCAAGTGATATTTATTTGCAAATGTCAAAATGTGAAAGCGTTGACAACAAATACATACTCCCTACTTGGATTTTGCTAAGATTGAGTCAGATTTGTGATGACATTTGTAGGTAGTGTGGTGTGATTGCTAGTTTATTGGTTTTATTTAAGGGGATTTCAAGTTTGTGTCTTCATAAATTGCCATGCCTGCTGTTAACACACTCTTCCTATGGCCCATATTCAGATTAATGCTGCTGTACTGTCAGAAGGTTCCCTTAATAGACCTCTTATCCCTGCTAGCTATTTTACTGTTCAAGACAGAGGTAGAAAACATGCTCCTTTTGTATGCATATAGCATTCATGTGACTTTTGAAAAAGTAATTGTTCACCTGCCAAACTGGAAGTTATATTTTTTTTAACCTTATGATACACTTGCAATCTTTGCAATGACAACTTGTCCCTATCTCCTGTATGTTAGTGAGCACATACCAAACCACCATACGTCTAGACCTTAGTTGCCCCTTTACAGTCATACAACAGGGAAATCTTTCACATGTACACATCAATGCATTACCTTATGTTAAGAACCACACTCTAACACCACTTAAAGCAATGTTAAGTGGTATTGTAAAGTATATGTATGCTCTAACTGTGTGTCCTGTGTGTGTGTCCTGCCTGGGGAGTGTGATCTGCAGGCTTCATCGTGACTATGCACTTTTAGCATCTGTTTGTGCCTGTTTCCCACTGCTTTTATGTTCTGGTCAGGCATTCTAGTCTTTAGTCCTGTGAGGTCACAGGTTGACTGCAAAGCAAGAAAGACTCGCACACAGGGATAATGTGTTGGGGAATACTACACTGGGGAGGAGAGTGTAGATAGATGTAATGCATGAGCCCTGAGGGTGTGAAGTTAATTCTGTGCAGAAACCCTCTAATACTGCTGACAGAAAACAGAAGGTACAATTCTACAACGAAGAGCTGGGAGGAGGAAGTAAACAGTGAAGCAGACGGGGAGATGGAGCATGAGGGTGTAAATTTGAGTGGCTTCAAAAAGCCTCCAGTGCTTGATAAGGAATCTGGAGTGCTTTTCTCTTTTTATAGTATATGGGATATAGGGCAACCCTTACATCTATGGATTTGACAGATGTATTTGAAATGACCTCTAGCTTGGCCTTGATGGTGATAAGTTTGCATTTACTTACTGGAGAAATTTATATAATAAATCTGTTACTAGCATACATCTCAAATTTATGTAAATTTACACAATTTATGTAAGTACACTTCCATGCAAAATATTTGCTATAGGGGGCGGCGCACTGTTTAGAGTACTTTGATGTTGCCTTCTACATTTCATGCTGAATGTGTTGTTGCCTGATCCAGTGATCTCAGTGGAGAATCTTGGGGTGGGTCCAGACTATGCAGATTCTGCTGCCCCTCTATTTTGTTGGACCTCCTGTTCTCAGACCCATTAATCTTGGTGAGGGAACCATCATGGTGACAGACATCAAACCTTTGTGATAATATAGGCCACTGAACATAACCCAACAATAGCATTATTAGATTTTCAGTTGATAGTGGTAAGCAGGTACATGTGCCTCTCAGGCTTCTTCTTGGCTGTTTTTACCACAACCAAAGGCGTCTGTATAAAATTGGGCCTGATTACCTACAAATCCATGCCAAGGTACCACAGCATTGTTTGTGATAGTTATGGTGCCATTGGAACATGTCAGAGGTGTTCCTTGTGGCAAATTCACCTCAGAGGTTGAGGTTTCCATTGAGGCTACTTTACTTTAAAGGGTTAAGTAGCCTTTTTGTAGCCCCATTATAAAGCGAGATAATTGAAATTTTAGAACACCAAATTTAATTTTTTTTATTCCAGTGTTCAACAGCACCAACCACTGGACTTCTGCTAAAGCTGCATTAACAGTTTTTTGTCATGTTGACTTGTAAACATATGAAAGGCCTTTTTATTTTATTTTTATTTTTTTTAATCCAGCAGTATATGATCATCAAAGCTTAGCCTTGAAGGAGGTGTTTAGGACCAATGAAACATGCTGGAATATTTAACAGACATTTTAATAACGCAGATTTTGTTAGTCTGCCACCAGACAGTTTTAGATGTTTAAATATGAGGCTCTCTCTTCAATTATCTTCTGATAATGGTAAATCAGGCAAGAATAGCATTAGAGATCTGTCACTGGATCTAAACAAAATATTTATAATTTCACGCAAAACAATTTAATATAACATAGGGCAGATTACTTTATTAAAGGTAGAACATTCCCCTCTGACTCGACCTGTCTTTTTATGCGTTTCATGGTTTCCATTCCTGTCCTGGTGACGGCCACGCCCCATATTTTATTATT